GAGGGCTTTAAGGAAACATCTTCCTAATTATCTACTGCCTCGTTATGGCATCAATCCCATGACAAATCACCAATATTTCCCAGTGATCACTACTACAAAGAACTCTGCATTTCCCTGCCATGGTATCCGTAGAAGGGCTTTGCTCGTTATAGTGTTTCTCCGTAGACCAAAGTCAAGTTCCCTTCAGACATGGGAGTACTGAGAAGTCTTACATTTTCTTTCTATTGGCATCACATAAACCAAGCAGGGAGAGCTGCAGTAATCAGGGGCATCTCGATTGCATTCAGTAGGAAAATTCAAAAAGTCTTACCTATGTATAGGGAGGAATCTTTCCGTCTCACATGGTCATCGATGTAGGAAACTCCTAGAGGCTGTACAGGAGTAGCACCAATGCCTAGGAGGACCTGTGCTCCAATGAGAAGCAAGTACATCATGTTGGTGGCAGTCCTATTCCTGCAGATAAGATCTGGGTCTGGTCCCTCGTTGCTGGTGGACCCGTTGGCAGCGCACACATCCCTCCCTTCAGCCCCCCACCGTATTTCTCCAGATTCATATTCGTACTGGTGGGTCAGAAACTCAGGCAGTGCAGACAGGAGGGCACCCAGGGCCATGACGATCCCTCCGCACCCTATCAACCGTGGCCTGTGTCCCCGGGCTCCAAAGTAGCTCACAAAGAGAATAAGGGCCAGGTTCCCAATCTCAAAGCTGCTAGCGATCACGCCCACATCGGCACTCTGAAGGTTGAATCGTCGCTCCAAGGTGGTCAAAACACTCACCTGCAAAAAGAGGGAGAAAACCAGAGGCAATTACTTAAACAGAATTAAGGTCTGTATACTCCAGGGGCACATCCTACCACCCTTACTCACAATTGGTCACACCTGCGGGCCTCCTCCAAAGGAAGAAGTTAGAAGACCTTTTATTTATTTCACTGGAGTTTGGACCAAGCCACTGCACTACTAATAAGCACGTGGCATAAATGGTGCTGCTCGCAAAACAAGGTGCTAAGGGTAGGTATGACAGCTCCAGGATTACCCCAGAACAAAGAAGTGGCAATATCATCTAGACCTTCAAGTGCCAGCTAACCTTTTTATGAATCTGGAGCTTAAGTCCTACAGACTTGTCCATCAGAACTGGGTTCCTAATAGGGGTGTGTGTTTCAATTCGGATTTGGATTCGGCCCGAATCAGGGACAGCGATTCAATTTGTTGATTCGGATCACTGACCCCGATTCAATTCAGCCAAATCCAAATCTGAAGGTTTGATACTGATTTGGAGAATCAGCAATTCAGACACAGACACAGCTTTAAATGTTTTTTCTACATATCTAGAGGTACCAGGCACAGCTCGTGATTGCTGTGATGGTGGGGCAGATGCAGCATGCCACAGAAGTGTGCTTGGCGGCTAACCCAGAAGTGGATCAGAAGTACTTCCAGTCCACTTCTGGGTCTATTGGAGAGTGCACAGGGGGCCCCTCCATGCTTCTCCAGCTCGGCAATCAGCTGCAAGGGCCCCCGGATGTCCACCAGACCCAGGAGGCACTAGCTGCCAAACTGGGAGGGTGCAGGGGGGTCCCCCCAGCATGCTCCCAGGCGGACCCGGAAGTGGACCGAAAGTGCTTCTGGTTCACTTCTGGGTCTGCTGCCAAACGTGCTGGGGAGCCCCCTGTGCTCCTGCGGGACACTCCACGTGCCTCAGCATCGCAGCATTCACGAGCCGCCTTCTACCTTCAGGTATGTTGAAAAAACATTTAAAGTGGTGTCTATATCTGAATCGCCAAAATTTTCCGAATCTCTCTGAATTGATTCAGATGGTTCCAATTCGATCCAGAGAGATTAAAGGGTCTCCTGATTCGGTTCGGATTCAGAGATTCGGCCACTAAATCAGGCCAAATCTCCACTGACTGGAATCAGGGACCAAAGCTTCACACAGTCCTAGTTCCTAAGTCACCATGCAAAAGTTGCTGCCAAAACTGAAACCTGAATGATAAACATGTAACTCATTCAAGTGTCTTCTTAAAGAATGGCACATATTCAGTGGCAATGTGTCGGGGATGCACGGGGGTGCATGTGCACCCCCTGAGTGTGTTGGTGCACTCCCTGACAGGCCGCATTCTCCGCTCAGGCAACGGGCAGGGGGGGCAGGCGAGAGGGCCAGTGCCCCCCTGTGAGCACTGGCTGGGGGGTGGGAGCACTGGATGAAGCGCTGTGGCCACTTCCCGGAGTGCTGTGCCCACTTCCTGGTTGGCACAATCAGCCACAGGCGATACCCCCCCACCCCAGGTCGGCGAGACTGGCTACGTGGGGACCACTGGGGGGGCACATGCCTCCCCTGACTAAGGTGGCACTAGTCGCCCATGCACATATAGTGTCTACTTGCTAGCTTTACCATATGCTCTTTTGAACAAGTGCTAGTTTATGACACCCCAACACAAGCCAACAGGTTTTTCAGGGAAGCTGGTCTATGTGTATTGCCTGTTGCCATGGTGTATTCTCTAGTCTACAGTCAAGGACTAGCCAATTTTTGTTTGGCCTTATTCCCTTTTAGGGCCATGGGTTTCACATTGAAACCAAACTCTCCCATGGAGCAGTTGAACAAAACACACACTAAGCCAGGCATCTGATCTGGCTCCATCTGAACTAATTGCCATTATCAAGTAGCAGAGTTAACCTCGCTGACATGCTGACGCTTGGCCGACACGGCAACAGTATGTCATGTAACCAACCCGAGAGGCAGCCACAAAAACAAGGAGTTCAGCTCTGCATAAAGTTTCCACATCAAAAAACAATAAAAATGACACTGAACAAGCACTGTAAGAGAATTTTCCAGATTAATTAATGTGGTATCTTCAAGAACAAGAGGCTTTCGAGGAGACAGGCAATTGAGATTTACAAGATGCAATGAAACACACATGTTGGTTTTATGCAACAGTAAAACTGGTTGGTAGAGTCGAGTCATTTCAGCACCGAATTCCTCAGCCGCACTCATTTGCGCACACAGAAGAAAACCCAGTGTATTTTTATTCTCATGACAACATCTCCATCAAGAAAAGAACCTCAGTCTAGCAGAAAGGAGGGTATCCTGTTCTTCTTGGATTACCAGATTGTGCTAAGTGTTAAGGATGTCCTGAACTACTACTTCTTGTATCTCTACACCACATCTGATCATTTTGCTACGCATGCTTCTGCTGGTCCTGAACTGCCCACTGTGGATTCAAAACTGCGACAAAGGAAGGTGATAAAGGGTCTCTTGGAGGGTACTCCAGGATGCTGTTATGGCATAACGATACACCTTTCAGCAATAAGAACAATCAACTTTTGCCAATTGTCAGGCTAGAAGCTGGGGGAAGCTAGGGCAGCCCTCCCTTGCCTTCCACAGGACTGAGCTGAGGGGGTATGTGGCCAGGCCCCAGGAAGCTCTAATTAGACAGTCCCCCCCCTCACACACACCAGCCCAGCAGGGTACTGATAACTCAGTGTTTATCACCCCATTAAGAAAACAACAAAGGGACATTACCAGCTGCCTGCTGATTCTGCCTTTCTCCCATCTGCCACAGCAGGGACCATAGCCATCATGTGGCCTGCTAGCTGGTGGTTAGCTAGCTAATGCTGTGTCTGCGTAAGGCAGAGGGGATGGGGGAATCCCTGCTTAGCCGGGAGTGGTGAGGGGGAAGGCAGGCAGGTGCCTCAGCCAGGGAGCAGAGGCGAGGGGCCAGCCCTGCTGCAGAGCAGAGAGCCCTGCCCAGCCCAGAGAGCATGTCAGGACTCTGATTAAACTTAAACCAGGAAGGGGTCTGGGACAGACATTGCATAAACCAGTTTGACTCAAACCAGTTAAGCCTGATACCACATTCAGCCAGGTTTATCTCAAACCAGTGTCAGCCATTTTCAAACTGGTTTATGTGCACTGAACATCCATTCTGTTACAGGTTTAAACCAGTTTCTGATCATTTAAACTGGTTTATGTGTAATGCCTGCCCGTAGCCCTAGAGTGCAGCATAAGAGCAGTTCTGATAGCTACCTAAGCTACAGGCCAAACACAGCCAAAAGGGCCAACCCCACAGGGTGGAAGAGGGCTCTAAATAGATGTAGCATGTAGTTTTGCTGCAAAAAAAGCTCAAAAATCATAGCTGCATTCTTAAGAAAGATATAACACATCATAAACCTGAGTATCATTTAGGGCTATGGAACGTAGTAGCATTAAGGGGGGAAAAACCTGTCAAACCTCACAACTCAAGTCATAAAGGGATGAACTAAAAGATTTTCTTCTTGCATCAAAACTATAGGATCAGGCTACTGGACATTTGGATCATGGAGGAGTGAAAATGTTCTTGGAAGTACCAGGTGCTGGTCACTTTGAAATGCAGGTCACGCAACTACAGGAAACAATGATGCGATTTGCAAAAATCCTGTGTTCCTCCTGCGGCTCTCCGATGCACACCACATCCCATACCCTCTCTAGTGAAATCAGCTACTGTGCTTTGACGACCAGAATCTGCGATCAGAGTCAGACTGGTAATCTAACAGAGGCAGCATTGTTCTCATATCCTCCTTGGAAACCAAGAGAGAGAGACACTAAACAGGTACGGGAGAGGAAAGAAACCTCGATTTAAAAGGTTGATTAGAGGTTTGAAGCAGAGACAGGAGGGTGAAACAATTGCCCCACAACACACAGTAAGTCAATGAGATGCTGGGGAATAGTGCCCAGAATGCCTGATCCCTACTGCTCTCTCAACTGGACTACAGCTGGCTGGGTAGAAAGATGCTCCCATTGGCAGAACAATGTTGTTTATCTCCTTGCAGAAGTCACTTCTACTGCAAGCATCTCTCCCCAGCTGCCTTTGCTGAAGAAGTACCAAAATGCGAGGGCTGCGCTGCTGAATTCCACAGCTGACCTGGTCATCAGCGGGTCAAATGAAATGTGATGCATCTGCACACGTGTAACTCTGGCACCCTGTTGGGTCAATGCAAGAGATGCAGGTGGGCAAAGGAAGAAAAATATTTGCCTTTAAAAAGCCAGAAGGGGGGAATGTATTTCCCAAGCAAGGCACTCGCATTCACTACCAGATTGAGGCTCTGGCAAAGAGCCTGGAGCACATTCTTACACCTGTGCATTAAGGGAATGGGCCAGATATTTCATTTGGCTTCACCCTTTTCTGGTTTGTCTAGCAGGTACAACACAACAACGGCAATAATAGCAACAAGTGAGGCAGACAGGCAAAGCAAGGGCAGCTCAGGGCTCACGCCACTCACCCGGCGGGGGAGCAAGCTGACAGATTAACGGCTGCAACGTTCCAAGCTGCAATGTTGCAAACTGAACTACATTGGGAGATGGTGTAGTTCGTAATGATGCAAACTCATTTAAAACCCCCCACATTTGCTTATGTGTAAAGTGTATGCCATTACACCACACACAGCAACATTTTCATCACATGTACAAGTGCCCTGAGGTTACACCTATATGAGCAACACAGATTGTGTCTAGGTAGGAGGAGTGCCACTAAGAACTACACCACATCCACCAGCACCAAGACCAGAGATGAAGGGAAACAGCTGTTCTGTGGGTGCCACCTGCCCCACTGCCAACAGCTCAGCATCCTTGAGAGAAGCGGTGGGAGGACAGCCTCAGAGCTCAGTTCTGGGTCTGGCTGTGCAGAGTGGAGACAAGTAGCCAAAGCAAGCCATCTCAAGAGCACGGGGAAGGGGTGCAGGCAGGTCCCTGAGGCAGCACCCACAAGCACAGTGCTGGAGTGAGGTGAAGCAGCCTGCCTGGAGAAGCA